GGCCCGCATTCTCTGGGGCCATCAACTCCCTCACGGCCTTCTCTATCCTCTGGGCGGGCACCGGCACGCCGCAATCTCACCTGTAATCCATCTTAATCTCGACTGCAATCCATGCTCCGTCGCCAGCTGAAGCGCGTTCGCCTGCTGCTCGGCAGCCAACGACCACGCAGCCATCGGCACCCCACGCTCTCGAGCGTAGAGTTCCACCCGCAGTGCGAAACAAACCCCCTGACTGCCCGGTGGGCCAGCACCGCCACCCGTGGGGCCCACCAAATCACCTACCCGACTTTTGAAGTCCGCTCCAAGAACCCGTCGGGCAAAACCTCACCCACTAATTCTCTCGAATTTTCCCTTCGGCTCTGGTTACCATTAGAAGCCTATGTTATGCTATATATAAGGAGTATTTTAGTTATTCAACATATATCTCGAGCAACTCAACTGCTCGACAATACAAAATTTGAGCTCGAGCTCGAGTCACTCGCTCGGTTCGTTTGCAGCCCTAAGATCGATGTAACTATTAGTAGATATACTTTTTTACAATCTCGTAAAGTTTCGTTAGAAAAAAAAAAATCTTATTTTATAAAATAGTATAAATAAAAGTATAAAATCAATCTGATTGTATTATTAAAAAAACTATGAGTCACGATCATGCAGCCGGAAAATTTTGACTTGGAAATCAATAATTTAGGGCTTTCCTTGGATGCCATCGTCTCTCTGCATGCCATAATATTCTTTTAAACAATTTTTATTTTGTTTCTTTTTCTTTTCTTTTGTTTATTTTTTTGTCCTTATTTTGTCGGGCTCTACGTTTTACAAATTACAAGTTGAGATCCAATTTGAGTCAAAATTACCAAAAAACAAAAAAAATAAAAAAAAAAAATAGTAACTTTTGCATGGTGGCAAAAATTATGCGGACTCTACAAATGATTAAAGTTGTAGTCAATGTGGGAATGCAGCAGTGTTAAAACTCTTGAGGGAGAGCTTTGCTGCCCTTGTGGTCCTACCCGGCTCGATTCCGGATTAGTCGGTTCCCCTGTGGATCCGGAAACCGGAAGGTCCCTGTACAAAAAAAAAAAGTTGTAGTCAATGTTGTTGCTTCAACAAAATCGCGAGTCTTACAATTTCACTAATTATGGACTTGTTTAGCAGTTAAACAAACCATCTCATTGGTACCAATTAGTGAAACTGAAACAAAAATTATCCTCTGCTTCTTAAGCACTTAAAGAAATATTCATCCCTCAGTTCAGAACTTGGCCCAACATTCAACTTTATTACACACAGAAAAAAAAAAAGAAAAAAGAAAAGTAAAAACCCGTATATTGTAAAAGCCAGAAACTGATGGACAAAACACAAACACTTAAAACTCTTAACTAATATTCCTAATAACATCCTCAACAAAACTAGTTATAGCATTATACGACGAACCACCTTCCTCTAGAGCCGCCCTGCTTTTCCCCTGCATCTCCTTCACTTTCTCCCTAACCCCACCGCAGTTGGCCGCCATCAGCTGCCTTACAGCCGCCTCTATCTCCTCCGCCCCCACAATCTCGTCCTCCCCGGAAACAAAATCCTTCCGATAATCTATCCTAATCGGCTCCGCCATCCCCAGCTCCCTCACCAGCAAAAACGCGTTCATCTGCTGCTCCGCGTACAACGGGAATGTGGCCACGGGCACGCCGTGCCACACGCTCTCGAGCGTCGAGTTCCAACCGCAGTGCGAAACGAAACCCCCGACCGCCTCGTGGGCCAGCACTGCCACTTGTGGGGCCCAGCCGACCACCCTCCCGACACCTGAAGTCCGCTCCAAGAACCCTTCCGGAAGGACCTCCCCGAAATCCTCGTACTCGGTTGGGGGCACGAAAGCCCCGCCGGGCTTTCTCGGGCCGCCGGGCTTCCTCAATGACCACAAGAATCGGGCCCCGCTACGTTCCAAGCCCGCCGCAATCTCTGCCACCTGGGCCCGGTCGAAGCTCCCCATCGTCCCGAAGCAGAGGAAAACCACCGACCCGTCCGGCTGCCCGTCGAGCCACTCCTTCAACTCGCCATCTAGGGTTTGATTCTCGGCGCTCAGCACCGGGCCCACCGGGTAAACCCTCGGCATCCTCCCGTCGTTTTTTAGGGACACGAGGGCGAAGGGCTCGAGCTCTTCGAATGTGTTGACCATGACCCCCCTCGTGTCGGCCACTCTCCTGAAGTAGCCGAGGAAATTCGAGGAAACTGGGCCGCCCGAGACGAATACCCCGGGCAGCACTTTGGCCGGAACAGGGCTCGAAAAGCAGGGGACGGGCAGGTCAGGGCTTGGGTCCTTGTACCGGGTGAGGTCCTCGCCTTTCTCGAATTTCAGCGAAACAAGGTAGTTCATGAGGCCGAGTGCGGAAGCGCCCGACGTGAAGAAGACGTAAGAGGGGAGGCCGAGCTCATCTCCAATATCAATGAAGACGGTGCAGAACATGTCGAGGACGAGGCCCGCGACACGGTAGCCCATTTGCCCGGCCCCACCGGAGATTAGGCCCGAGACGGCTTCCTTGACGTGGGGCCCGCGGGTGTTGATGAAGTCGATCATGGGCATGCCGTCGGTGGAGGGGGTGAAGTCGTGGTTCGGGAGGTTGGTTAGGGTGAGGCGGGGTGCGGTGATTGGGGTGGTTCGGGTGTATTTGTCGACTGTTTGGTCGGTCGGTAACTTCATGACGAGGATGGTGACGGAGAGTCGTGGGTCCCGGTCGAGGAGGAGCTTGGCGGCCTCGACGGTGGAGACGAGGTGGCTCAGCCCGGGAGAGGGGATGAACACCAACTCGAAATTTTCCATGTTTTTTTAATTGATTTTTTTTTTTTAATTTTTTTTTAGGATGGTCATGATGAGTTGTTTTTGTTGGGTGTTTTAGACTTTGAGTGGAAGGGGCAAGGATAAGATAAGGTGATGGGTGTTGGGAGATTAATTGGTTTATAAACTAGTAATGCATGACCTCTTATATAGAAAAAGTTTCCCAAAGTCTGTATTACTCAAGTTAGACAAAATATCCAAATAGCCTTGTAGTTGAAGTGTTGAGTTTGCCTTGCAACTTCTGTTGTGCTGATAATTGAGCTAAGTTTAGCACATTAGTACTGTTGGAATAGTCCAAAGAGCATGATAATATTTGACTTGATCTTGTGCACATGAAACTTCAAAGAAACTTGCTAGGCCTTGTTGGCGTAGCCTACCCACGGAACGTAACTGTTTGATGGTCTTAGGCCTAGGCCTCATTCTTTGTACCAAAAAAAAAAAAAAGAAACTTGTTAAGTTCGATTCTATCGGTGAGGGCACTGTCATTATCGCCTTTTATTTTTTTTACTGTCAAATTATAGACACCCACATACACCCCAAAGTAAAAAATTCGGTGAAAACATCGATTTCACTAGTAGGATTGAGTTGTCCCAATAAACCAAGTGTTAGTAGAATCAAGTGACCATATCATATAATCTTTACGTAATAACTAACCCAATAAATGTTCAACAAATCAAGTAAATATGGTTTTTTTTTTTAAACCAACATAAGTAATTTGGAGATATAAAGAAGGAAAATGATACGTCCGTTACGAAACCATTCCGACGGGATTTGTAACCATTAAATCATCATGTAACGTCAATGATAGTTGATCTAACGATTACAAATCCCGACGGAATGATTCCGTAACGGACTGTATACGCATTTCCCAACACCATATATCTATCTCAAATCACCATCAATTATGCAACCAACCACAACATATGTTTGAGCAGAAAAGTAACACGAAAGAAAAGAAAATTGGTGCCCCAGTCATGTTGTGGTTGGTATTTATTTATTTATTTATTTATTATTTTGAATTTATATATCCCCATGTAGGAAAATAGTGAGAAACATCATAAAAGAAGACAAAAGTTTCATGCACAAATAATGTCAAAGGAATCAAATGTCGTCAAAATAAAATAGTGAGAAACATCATAAAAGTTCAAAACATGTATCATGAGCTATAACAAATGTCAAAGAAACTGAGAATCAAACCTCAACTAAAAGTATATTTCTTTGCTTTGTGTTTGAATTTAATTTTTATACTAAATAGTCTTATATATCATGGATTTATTATACATGAAAATAGAATTCTTCAATTTCAACTTTTTTCAACGCCCTTAGTCCCCTAAACACTGATTAAAGATATGAACACATAAGCTAGAAAAATCTCAAAGGGAGTGATTTCAGTTCTATTGTGGTGTGTGTATGTATTGTGTGTGTTTGATTGGTTTTTGTAATATATATAGCACTTTACAATTTGTTCTGTTCTCTGCAGTTCAAAATATCGACTCCCAAAGTAAACATTTCGGCTAATACACCTTTTATTTCGAATTCTTGAAAGCACGCGTTAAATTTTAGAACAAACGCGCTTCATGCTAGTAATTCCCAGGCATCGCCACCCACACTTAGCACTTACACACTCCTCGTCTGTTGTACAATTCTTTGGGCAATTTTTAGGTGGTGGTGAAGGATTCGGAGCCACCGGTGGGCGACTTCCTTGCGGCAATAATTCTCGAGCTTGTAAGCCTTTCAGGGGCATCTTGGGCAACAGTAAAAGTACTACAAAATCTCACAATCAATTTTTGTGACCTGTCTTATTAAACAACGTACATTCGATAACAATATTCGATTGGTACAAAAAATTGTTTGAATATGGTATAGATAGGCAAACCTGTGGAGACCGTGAAAACTGCAAATACGATTAACTGCAAAACTCTAACGGTCGCCATGATTGAAGTACATATACTGTTGATCGTGAATTCGTGATAATCGAAAGACCAAAAACGAAATTTTGCCCCCATCAAATACAATGTGATGTTAATATTCATGTATATAAAAGCCAAAATTAGATTGGATTATTGGATTTTTGACGAGAGTGCATGCAAATGTTGAAAATGTTGGAAATTTGGTGTCAAAATTACACGGGAATCCTACGAACTGATATGTAATTTTCAGTTCTTACAAATAATCTAAAAATAGAAAATTACAATTGAACTGAAAAAATAAAATACAACTGAAAAACGGAAAGATTTTAGCCGAGGCGAGTAAAACTTTTTCCGCAAGAAGAATACGCCCCGTGTGTCAGCTAACGGTTCAGGCGTAACTTCCCCAAAGATACAACGGCAAACGTCTCTAAATCTGTAGCACACCAGATTTACGAGCTCCGGCGAACGGGAACGGAGTCGATAATTGAACACTTAGTAATAAAAGGAATATTCTGAAACAAACAAAAATATCACTTGTTTCTTCTCTTTTGATATTTTTATATCCGATATTTGGACATATATTTTTCTTTCTTTCCTTTCTCTTTCTTTCTTCTCTCTTTCTTTCAGATTTTTGGTGTATTTCGTTGAGTGAGAAGACCCATATTTATAGATGGATTTCTGAGCAAATTGACAAACTCTCCACGCGTTTCCAGCTGTAAATTGTCCAACTTGTTTAATAAATTAACAAGAGAACATGGTGATTGAGAGTTTATGTCAGATTCTTCATGTGTTTTCAATACAATTTGCCCACTTGATTTAATAATTAACATGATGAAGTTGTATGGAGTGGTTGGAATCTTTAATTAATTAACACTCAAATTGCAATAGAAAACTGTTATTAGGGGATTAATCACATTGAGATATGCTATCATAACAAAAATATTGAATTACCTTAACTTCCACAAATGAAACTATAAAGTCACCAACTTTTATTGATCATACTGTCCTTTAACTTCATATTTATTGACATTTCAGTTCCTACCTCAGGATACTATATAGATTTTTATTCTTTTGCTAGGCGAAATTTCATTTTTGTACATTAAATTGACCCCTAAAAAATGTATATATTTCAATTTTGTACACATCAACTGACCGCGCGTTGTGACGCAACAAATTTAAATTTATAAAGTTTTCCTCGACTAACCTCTATTAACTAGTAGTAGCAGCGAGTAAGAGTCGATCCCACGAGGAGTAAGAATTAAGTGTGACATTCTCATATTAATCGAATTGAAACTAAGAAATCCATATAAAAGGGGGATTGGTTTTATAAAAATATAAAAATAAAATAAAAATAAGAGAAATTTAGATTTCGATTCAGTTATCACTCAATCTAAATCTATCGTTAATTAATTTCGACGTTTTCTTAACTTGCTAACAAATTACCAACCCTATCTACCAACAAGCTCTGTTAACCGAAATTTCCTTACCGATTATTTAATCGAAATAAGCTTTTCGACTAAACCTAAATAGTGGATAACATAAAATAAGTTCTCTAGATTTAGTCCATTAGTAGCATTAATCACTAGAAAAATAGATTAGTCTAAGCAACAGACGCGTAAATTCGGACCATTTAAGTTATACTCATGTTACTCTAACGATGCACGACCCATAGTTTACTACTAACGAAACGAAAACAATAACAATGACGGATTAATGTCTTGAAACTTGCAATTAAACTATGGATATAAAACGTAGCTAGTCAAACTAAAATAATCACCATAATTTTTAAACATTATAAACAAATAACACGAATCAACTCATCCACAAAATAAATACGGCGTCTCAATTATTCAACGATAAATAAAAATCAATCAATTCATAAACCAACGTAGTCTCGGCCAATAGAATCCAAAGATTCTCTCGCAATTAATGTTCAAGACTTCACCACTCATCAAACCCCTCGGCTGCGTGGCATCTAACTCATGTCCAAGCTCACCCAAATCATAGGCAAAAATTTAAAATTGGTCCTATAATTTAGCCACTGTCCAAGAAAATCACTTCTATATTGACCACTTTTAATTTAGATCTTATAATTTGTCGATTTCATCAATTTTGGTCATTTTTTATCCGTACCCTGGATTAAAAAGTGACGTGGCATGAAAAAAGGACCAAAATTGATGAAATCGACAAATTATAGGACCAAAATTGACGTGCCACGTAGATCATAATCACGCCATGTAACCTTAAAAAACTGACACGTCATGCCACGTCACTTTTCAATCCAGGGTCTGGATAAAAAGGACCAAAATTGATGAAATCGACAAATTATGGGACCTATTTTGAAAGTGATCAATATAATGGTGGTTTTTTGGACAGTGGGCAAGTTATAAGACCAATTTTGAAATTTTGGCCCTAAATCATACATTATGATTTAATTTCCTCAGCCAATAATTTCCTCAACAGGTAGACGAAGATATATCCACGCGGCTAATTTTTTTTTTCTCCTGCCTCATCACATAAATTATTGGCTGAGGAAATTAACAAGTTATGTGAGACCACTAATAGTATCTGTCCTATAATAACTTGTTAATTTATTCATATTTTTGCAGTGCACATCCATTTGAATACAACAGTTTTAGGTCAGACTCCTACAATTTAAGGTATTATAATTTTAGGTCCATGCTATAATAATTTAAAATTTGATATTTATGCTTTTGATAAATACATATGCCACAATTTCATTTAGTCATATTTTATTCAAATATATCATCAGCTATTTTAATCTCACAATAAACAAGTCAGCTTTTAAGTCTGATTTTTTTTATTTTTTTTTTCCCATAATTTACATTTTTTACTTTCTAATTAAAAGGTTGAGCAAAAAGAGTTCCATATGTAAGAATCAATTATTGCCTTTTCTGATCCTATAAGATCAATTGCTACATTTTTAAGTCATAAAAAAAGGCAAAGAAAAAGAATCTTTCTGGACAATAAATAAATCTTATAACCACTAATTAATTAAAACTTGATGAACTATAATGCGACTTCCCAATATTTTTGTTTCACATATATATACGT